CTCAAAGATTAAAAGTTTGAATAGCAGCTTCATTGGAATTATATTTACCTCTGCCAAGGAGGTTATATTTTCACCCCTGTTTGTCTGTCATCAACATAACTCAAAAAGTTATGGACCGATTTTGCTGAAACTTTCAGGAACTGTCAGAAGTGGGCCAAAGAGGACAATGATCAATAAGAATCAACAATTGCTGCCTTGGCAGAGGTCTGCACTCTCGGAGCGCTTTTCTAGTTTTGTTATGTTTTCCCTTATAAATTTTTCTCAAACACTTGCATTTGTGACTTTTAACTCTCATCCGCCTGAGGCTCTGACATTTCTGTATTTCCACATAAGCAGTTGTATTGTTTTTTATGTCTTTAAACATTATGTTACTTATGTAATATCATTTTATGCACTGTCATCATTTTGAATGAGATTTTCATCATGTGAATTTGAACTCTCATGGTCCTGAAACTGTAATCTTATTGAAGGGGTGAATTGAGACCATCTTCTGGGTCTTCCGGAAGACAGTCAGTTATTAAGTTTATATTGATGTCTATTTTTTTTTTTCTGTTAGAAGACCATCAAAATGGAGGATGGATCAAAATAGATACTTTGGAATACTGTCAGAAAATATCTCTAGGTCCGCTCATGTTATTGACCATTTTACCTGTTGTGCATGATTAAAATTCAGTGTTGACTGACAGTGCTATTATAAGCATTATTTATTATTGCATCAAAATTGACAAAATGACCTTTTTTGCATCTATATTTTCTGTTTTTTGTCTGTACATTTGACAGCTTTGCTGCCTTGTTTATGAATGTGGTCTCTGAATTAAAACAGGACTGTGTATATTGGTATGAATTCACATGCAAATATTTCATTTTAGGGAAGACTGGGAGTTTTTGGTCCGTAACAAAGCATTACCAGAGGAGAGGATGCGAGCTGTGGAGACGGGAGGCTGTCCCCATGCTGCCATCAGAGAGGTAATGGTGGAGAGAGAGAGAGAAGGGTGTCCTCATGCTGCCATCAGAGAGGTATTGGTGGAGAAAGGGGGGGGGGAGAAAGAGGGGAGGAGGGCGAGGGGGGAGAGAGAGAGGGGAAAGGGGAATATATCTTCAGCCCTTATGTCATTTTTAGTTTATTTCATTTCTATCCACAGTGTACTTATAAATGAAGTTTTCATTTATTTTCCCTAATATTAAGGATTACTCTCTGAACCTGGAAGAAGTGATAGATCTGACCAAGCAGTTCAGCCCTGAGCTGGTCATTATAGAGTCTGGTGGGGATAATTTAGCCGCTAACTTCAGCCGAGAGCTGGCTGATTACATCATATACGTCATAGATGTTGCAGGTATGTATTAGGCATTGTGTGACCTGAAAATGTGCTGGAATTTGCATGAGATATGGTTGATTTTTTAGCAATAAGTGCGAAATTGTATATGGAGGCAATGCTGTCTTAGAAACCTATACAAAAGTGATCGATCCAGCTTGTATGACGGGTTTATGGGAACACTCCCAAGTTGCAAGACTTTGGGCTATCTCAGAATGACAGATGATTCACACTGGTGCCATCTACATGTATCTTTAAGAATCAGATCCAAATGGACAGAATAACAAAGTATACAGTAGAAAACTGTATGTGTATGAATGTAGTTTAAACATTTGAAAAGTACAGAAAAAAGAGAATTCTGACAATTTGGTGACTTCATCAACTCCATATTTCCAAAGGTGGTTGATGACATGGTGGACTATCATTTCTTTCTGTTTCAGGAGGAGATAAGATCCCGAGGAAGGGAGGTCCAGGCATCACTGAGAGTGATCTCCTGGTCATTAACAAAACTGACCTGGCCGAAGCTGTTGGGGCTGACCTGAAGGTAAACAATTGGGATTAAATCTTATCTTGTATGGAAGAAATTTGGCAACACATTAAAAAAAATATTGTATGAAGATTAAAATAAACAGGCACTGTATATAGTGTAGTTATGTTTATTAGGTGTTACTTTCACTTTTGCTTTCTCTCTTTTTTTGTGAGTTTGATGGGGGGTTTCATTATATTTTCACCAGGTGATGGAGAGAGATGCCTCCATGATGAGACAGACAGGTCCAACTCTTTTTACTCAGGCTAAACACCTGGTTGGCGTTCCTGAAGTGGCAGAACATATCATGACTGCACTGAGAGAGACCACAGCTAGCTGATACTGTGAACAGGCACTGCAGGCTGAGAGCACACAGCCTTTGTATGCTGGTGCTGAATGTTAGAGTTCTGCCTGTGAAACTGGTGCACACATGCATGCATGTACATGCACGCACACACACAAACACACACACACACACACACACACCATTTGCCAACAAATCCTTTTACCTTATCTTCCTTTTCAGCATCTTGTTGACATTCTCTATTTTCAGTTTTACTCTGAAAATATTGTGATAACTGTTCTGCATTTTCAGTCAATTGCTCATCATGATAGTTTTATATTCCAAATATGATGTGTTATTGAAATTCAGCATTCAGTTAGCATTGAACATAAACAGCAAGTCATTTATCAAGAGTTTCTGTGCACTGCTACTGTATATTTATAAACAGTCATCATTCTAGTTTCTGTATTAAAGATAAGTTAATTTACTATAGAAATAAGTAAAGTGTAAATTTGTCTGTTCCCAGGCACATCCCAATCCTAACAACAAACTCTACAATCTACTCTTACACTTTGTCTTTGCTCTGTCTTTATAACCAGTAGATTAATCCAGGCACCGGTCCTGCGATATCTTAACATATTATTAAATATTGGGGTTTGTGTAAGAGATGAACCACTGTTGTAGTATGTTTTGATGCAAACTTGATGGTTATTAAGATATAGACCATCTATTATTAAAACACATGAAGTTCTACATGTTCCTGATTGCCCAGAATAGCAGTGTGCTAATAGAAATCTCAACTGTTGGTGTTTTCAACCTCTGCTGGGAGATAGAAGATCAAGCTGAAGTCAAGTGTAGAGCATTTTATTTATATAACGTGAGCAGACAAATCTGTAATTAATTCAAAGGTAACTTTCAAAAAAGATTCAAAGCCTTAACCATTCTTGTTGGTTTTAATGATTGTAAAAAATGGAAATGCGTTATGTGCTAATTGTGAATTGAAATGTTTAAATCTGAAAGCCACCAGAACATCTGAACTGTAATAAAAGTATAATGTTAACACTGACTTTGTTGCTGTCTGACTTGTACAATGTACATGTATATGTACATGTATTACCATTCAAATGGAACTTATGCCCAACAAAGAAAGGTATACCTACTTTCTTGACCCAAATGAGAAATACTATAAATTATATTGTTATATTTCTATACATAAAATCTAAGTGACATCCAAAAATTGAATATGTACATTTTGTAGCATTTGCAGGTACTGGGATCTGTGAATGCCATGCCCACTGTCACATGCTTTTGTTAAAAATCAAACATACTGGTCTTTCATTATGGCTGACATGCAGGTCAAGATTCACGGAGTTTGGGAAAGATGAATTGACCGTCTTAAAATCTCAACAATGTCCATGTAACATCAGGATGAAGTCCAGGTTAACTTACATTCAAGCAAAGTTTGATCAACTTACTTTCACTGCATGAAACAGGTTAACCCTTGATTAGTTTGACTGTGAAAGATGTGACTCTCAAAATGTTTAATTGAAAAACAGAAAAATTTTCAAAGTCTACATAACCAATTTTATTGTTTACATGCTCTTGAAATATTTTTTAGATTATTTTTCATTCATTATTTAATATCATCAATTGATTTATTATTATTGATGTGGCAGTCTGTATAATTTTATGTGCCATAGTAAAATATTATGGGTAGGGTGAAAGAAACCTTTTCTTTTTATCTGGAAATATGATGGTGTTCTACAAAGCAAGGTGTGTATGGGGGGGGGGGGGGGAGTCAGTATAAATATTTGGTAAACTCTTCTTACTGCCTACTGGGGTCAGCTGAACAACGACTTCATTTCTGTGCAAACATTCCTCTGGTTCAAAAATATACAGGGAATTAATTAGGCAGAGAACTATCAGAATATGTAGTAACCGCTATCTCTGTGGTCCTGGTGTAGGGTACACGTCAACGTGGTTAAGGGGATTGTGTGGGGGGGGGGGATGGAATGTGATGGTTGAACCTCTGGCATTCTCAACAATTCCCTGTTATTTTCAGACCGCCATTCAGTGGAATTCACAGCTCAACATGTTCCTCCGATGACTTTTAATTAAAAGACCTCTCTTTGTTTTGTTTGCGCCAGTTTCCTGCGTTTTCATTTCGCTGATAATACATTTTGGAGTGGTTTATAAAGATAATTTAAGCTTTTGGAAGATAACTGCAGATTATCGATAAAGAAGATGGGACGATTTGAGATAAAACCCAGGTGCAGCCTTTCAAATACATCATGGGGTCAAACGACTTCACCTGGAGAAGACAGCCCTGTAGTTTACGTTTACATTTCAGTCTCGTAGATCAAGCGTATTCTAAATGCCCGAACGCTCTCTCGCGACAAAGTATGCGATGTTTGTACACTAAAATAATACAAGGTCATGCTCTTGGTTAACTTAATATTCTGCCCGCGTTTGAATATGTCCCAAAGTAATGTCAGTACTTATGTCTACACATTCTGCAAGGCTACTTATTTTTCCCAATTGATATTTTCTTTTGAAATGTACAGGATGAATGGCGGTCTAAAATGACTGGACGGGTATTGAGAACTGAATTAGAAATGGTATAAAACATAAAGTCACACCACGCTATATGCAGCCATACTCTGGAACAGTTAACCCGCTGAAATTAGAGTGTCAAAGAAATTTAAAGATATTTTAAAGACATTTTAACAGCTCATTATTAATTACCAAGCAGTTCTTATTCTTTTAGATCCTAGTATACTTAACTGACGATATTCAATTCTAATACTGAACAGAATATTAAGATTATTCCACTGTATTGTGTAACTAACTTTTAATTTGCCATTTTTAGCTCTCAACTTTGTCATTTTAAACCTTAATTGTAATATTTGGCTCTTTTAAATTGTAATATTTAGCTCTTTTAATTTAAAATAATTGTAAGGCGCATTGAGACTTTTAAATGGAATGCGCCATATAAGAAGAAATTATTATTATCATTAAATCTCAGCGTTCACGAGTAGTCAATGGTGGATCCTTAGAGGATCATAATTTATTTGTATAAGCAAGCAAACTTTGCCTCTTTTATTTTAGTTGAAAGCAATGTAGTAGACGTTAATAATGTACTTAGCAGCAGTGCTTGCTGCCTTGAAAAATGTCGAATAGTTTACAAAGTGACAAGATAACGTATTTAACATCCACCGAACATTCATGATAATTAAGAAAAGAGATAAGCGGGATACAATGTAAGAAATGTGCGCTCTATATAAAGGAGCCGTGTAAAGGCAGTACTAGTGTGTACCTACCCTCTACCAGGGCGACAGATTGATTTTTCACAGATATTAATAGATAGGTCTCTAGATAAATAGTCAGTCAATTTGGTCTGATGTCAAAAAAAAAGTCCACAATAATAACTGAGACCCTGGTAGAGGGTAGTGTGTACCCATGGGCTGACTGAACGTGTTGACGCTTACTGCACCTGGATAGCCTTCTTGTGATGAGGGGGGTTTATATATATATATACAATATGTAATATATACAATATATACAATATATAATATACAATGATCGGTCAGCTCGATATTCATTAAAGACCTATTACCTTGATAAGTATATCCTCATGTTTCTCAGGCTCCTCCACTCCTTTCATATTTTTCTTTTTTGTGGCGTTTATCTACACAGTCATGTACACATACCGGTATGTATATCAAAACTATATTTAGCATTCCATGGTGGATATTGTAAACTGCAATCAGATGGACCCTAGTTTTCCCCCTAAAGAAAATAAACTTTGTATTACCAATTTGTTTTTTCTAACTTAAAATGATCGCTTTACTTAAATGCATTATTTACATTAAAAGGTTACTTACATACCTCGCATATGACACACCTACTGCATCTTCACTGAGACCTCAACCAGACTGACTGGAAAAGATAGATAATCAAACCTTTAACCATCTGTTTACTGATCCAATATCGTTTGCTTTAATGTTGAAATGCATTCGTTAGAAACAATCTAAGTAATCAACAGAACAAATTCTTACAATATCACTTCATCAACTGAGGAAGGCTGTAAGTTACAGTAACACGGCTGGGTATTCCTTGGATGTTCAAGCAGGCACAAGCAGATATTTATTATTTTAATAACCTCGTTTGATTTTCATTATTAATTTCTTTGAATTTCATAACTATGAAAAAAGAGTACCATGTAACAGTGGTAACTGCACTTGAGGCCACTGCATGCGATGCATTTTTTTCTTTGGGAACTCACGTCAGAGACGTTGTCTAGGGTCGATCAAGGAAAGATCGAAAGAAGCCGAAATAGTTGAAGCTAGTTATTTGTAAAATGATATTGATATATCAGACCTCAATACTTTTATCCAGTTATATTTTTCACTCTCAAAGATTCAGGCCGTCAATCTTATACGCAAGAATATTTTCCGATTACAAATTATTTTTGCAGGACAGTGTTATGGCGGACTCAAGCAATAGACCGCAGTGTGTTAGGAGAGAGCGAGACGACACATTCCATTCGCAGGGAAGGGGGGGGGGGGGCAGGATGTGTGTAATCATTTTCGCTAAAAGTGGTCCGATAAAGCTGATATTCGCAACTGGATTGCATTTTAATGCTTCAGAAGTGTAACTTGACACTTTTTTTGTTTATTTCCCGTATGCTTTTTTTAAATGTAAATAATGAACTTTGAAATTTCCCATGTTGGTGACGGGATGGGAAAGGAGGGGTCATATGTAATGATGGTGTTTCTACTTGGTATTTCCTCTCATCTAACATTAATTTTGACTAAAGAGAGAAACAGGGGAATTAACGGGGGATTTTCTACAAATTTATAGCGTACAAGAGGACGCATGGGTTTTAGTGCTTTAACTACCCTATTTATTCATCATTATATCTAACACTGATGACTGGTCAATAAAACAACATGTTGGACATGGAGGGATTCCAACATTCCAAAACGCACATGACCTCCTGATAAAATTGCTTTTGTGGTTATTATTAATGCGCATCATTTTAAACAAATATAAACAGAGGGGCACATTTAACAACACGTATAAATTTTCACGCCATCTCCCATATGACGTTATATAACAGAACAACCATATTCAAGTCATATCATTTTACACCACTGACAGAAATGAGTCCGCTATTTGATTTAGATTGTTGTTTTCAGTATTTTTTAGTATTTTTCCTTTCCTCTAATATCATCGTTTTATCTGTACATTGCCTTAATCCATTTGTTTTCAATACCTCGTTTATTTGATTTTGTTCTGTTTTTTTAACAATCCCAAACTTTGCTTCGAATTATATTTATTTGTATTACCTATACTTCCAAGCAATGTGAATTCTACTTTTTCCACCCCTTCATTCAAAACCACTGCAATTCACTGCGATGTTAAACCTAACAGCATCCTAATAAACAGCTGCCAGTGAACTTATTATATAATGGCATTTAAAACTAATTACAACTTTACGTACCGTGAATCAAATCCATACAGTGCACTTCAATCCAGTTATCTGTCAAGTGCTAGGGTTTCTTTTTATTTCTTAGTAAAATAAAGGATTTTTTTTCTTTTTGTGATTGTATATGATTGGATGGTTTGATTGACGGTTTTATAAACACACGTCAATCACAATCATACCGCAAGGGAATTTTTATTGCCCGTGATAGATAGGTGACAATCAAAGCTGTCAAATTTGACAGTTTGATTGACGGTTTTACCAACAAACGTCAATCACAATCATCCTCAGAGGGACTTTTACCTCCCGTGATTGAGAGGTGCCAATCAAAGCTATCAAAAGTGGATAGTTTGATTGGCAGTTATGTAAATAAACGTCAATCATCATTACTGCTACACACTGGTGATAAAGTCTAGCAAGTTGAACAGAGTAGAGTTGAACAGAGAATACGCCGTGGAGGGCGCACTGTGACCAGAAGTATTCAGTACGAGAGGGAAAAAGAATTTATCCGGCGTTTGAGAGTTAAGTTTTCAAAGTTATACATGAGAAACTAAA